GTGGGGAAACCAGAATTTTCACGGCAGGCCACATTTTCTGGAGAGCAGTTTTGTACTGTAGATCAAGAGCCTTAAATAAGAAACAGAGCAGTAAATACTTAACTCAGTAATACTGCCTCTTGAAGTCTATCTTAGGTAAAAAACCACTCATGCAAACAATTATATACAAGAATCCCATTGAATCCTTACTTCTAATAGGAAATAAAATGGGAACAACTTAAATGTTCAGCAATTACATTCTAATGCAACTTTTTATGCATCCATTCAATAACGTGCTTTTGAAGAATTTTTAGAAAAATTCTTCTAAACAGGAAAAGCTCAATGTTAAATAAAAAAAAATTAGGAAAAAATTTAATGCTGAACTTTAAAAAACGGATGTGTTATATATTATTGTTATAAATGTAATGTATAAATATAACTATAAAACTAAGAAAATATACCAAAATGTTGACAGTAGTGAATGCTGAGTGACAGGACACAATTGATTTTCATTTTCTTCCATTTCCCAAATTGTCTTCAATTCCCTTGTACTACTTGAATATCTCTTTCAAAACCAAATTATTTTCTGCTTTAAATTTTTTGTTAATACCATGTGTTTTCATTAAAGGAAGCATGCTGAATCACTGAGTGTCATTGAATTTTTGGTAGGTAGTATGGATTTTTTTTTCTATACTTTCTCCCATTTTTTCAGCCAAAAATGCCCACACCTCATACAACCTGTAGAAACAGTGATTTGCGGCACATGCCCGTTTTTCGGTTTCAAACAGCCCTCAGGGCCCCTGGCTTGTGGCAGCCTGCACTGTCAGTGAGGAAGCAGCTTCCCAATGAACCTGAGAGGCAGAAAATGTTGGTGGGCAACCATATACCCCACCGGTCATGAAAAGGATATCTGAGTCCCAGAACCTCCCCTCCAACCCGAGCACAAGAAACTCTGGAGGTGTGGGAGCTGCAAAGGAATTCAGACACGGAATGGAAGCTCAGTTTTATTTTCCGCTGTGACAAACCTTTCAACACCCCCCCTCCTCCAGCAACAGGGAAACAAAACAATTTGGCCGAGAGCGCCCAAGAGCCAATGCAGGCCAACAGTTAGGCCCCCATCCTAAAGCGGCAACTACTCCAGGAGTCAGTGCCCAGGGAAGGACGCACTGCCTGGGCGTGGGGGAAACACAAACTTAGGCCTCAGCCCCTCTTCCCGGCTGAGGCTTAGCGGAAAACAGGGGGCCCGAAGCGCTGCATGGTCCGCACCACCAGGGAAAGCTGATCGAGGAAGTTGATGATGGAAATCCGCAGGAGGCGAGGGTCTTCAGCAGTCCATCGGCTAAAAGTGAGGGGAAAAGAAAATCATTGAAAGGTCAGGCCGTCATTGGAACTAACCCTTTCGGGGTCTCCGTTAGAGCGCCCTCGCCAGGCGGCTGCAGGCCCGCAGCAGCACCACACACACCCCCTCCTTACACCTACCCGTTAGATGACTCCATTACAGCGCCCCCCGGATGGAGACTGGCCGCCGTCCCCTGCCACCCCGCCCACCCCGGCCCCTTCTGGAACTTACACAGCCAGGACGCTGCCGTTCAGTGTGAACTCCTTATGAACCACCCCTCCGTGCGGTTCAGCATCTGGGGCCAGGGACCCGCGGGCGATCTCCGCCTCCAGGGGCGACCGGAAGGGCACGGTGAGGGTGCTGGCGGGGTGTATGGTTCAGGCACCGACTGATACTGGCTTTCTGCCCCAGACTCCTGGTCCCTCCCAGGCCGGCTGCCCCCCAGGCCGCCCTCAGGCCTCCTTACCCCGCCCCCTGGCCCCTCAGGCCTTCCCTCCACCGTCCTAACCCACAGGACACACGGCCTGGTCCCCTAGGCCACTTGCTCCAGCGCCCCCGGTTCCTACTGCTCCCCTTTCCAGTCCCACCTCCCCAAGCCACCAGACACCCTCAGCACTTCCTTGGCTGCCCTGACCCAGGCAGCCCCTTAGAAAGGATACAACTCTAGCAGTCGGCTTCTGAACCCTCCTGCCCTGGGGGAGGCGTCTCCACCCAACCCGGGGGCATGAGGGGTCCCCTCGGATTGGAGAGCTCCACCGCCTGCAGCGCCCTCGGAGGTCGCGACAGTCAGGCCTCGGGCCACCAGGACCACCTGGACCGCCAGCACCGCTCTGGCCATCGTGGCCGCCCATGGAGCTGCCCTCACCGCCTCCACCTTTGACCCCACAGCCCATCAGAGCAGGTGCGCCCTCTCCTCCGCCACTGAGGGACTGAGGTACCTCCGGAATCTCGGCCCCTAAGCACTCAATGAGACCCCAGCGCGCCTGTGCAAACAGACCTGCCTGAGGAGGCCGGGCGCATGACTGTTTTCTGCCAGGCTGGCCCTGCCGCCGGACCACGAAGACTGTGCCAAGGCCAGCCTGGTCTGGGAGGGAGTCAGGCGCCCCTGGGCCAATCCCATCGTGCCCCTCTGGTCTCCCACACTTGGCCTGAGTCTGCTGGGTCCCGGCCCTTGGGAGCTGAGGCCGGGGGGATACGGGGTGGGGGCGGTGGGGGGCAGCATTGACTCCGGAGGCGTGTATCTCTGTCCCCACGTGCTTCCTTCACCCACAAGTCGTGGGGTGAGAGCATGCAGTGTTGTGTCCTGTGGGGATCTGGGCTGCTCACCTGGTGTGCAAAGGCTTGCCCACACCCTGCTCCTTGGGCTGGGCCAGGATGGCAGGGATCTGAGGTGGGCACAGCCCAGGGAAGGGATCTTGGGCGTGGCTCCCACCACCCCCTCAGCCTTTGTCTCTCCACCCTCCACTGGCTACTTCCTTCCTGCTTGCCTTGTAAAAGTGTTTTGGCTTGTTCTGGATCCAGCAGCTGCCTCTTGTCATCACACCTCTGGTTCTTGGGACTTGAGCTAGCTGCTTACCTGACAATCTTGGGATTCATCAGTTTTCACAGTCTGTGAGCAAGAGTCTTGCTCCCCGACCTGATGACCATGGGTTCACCAGCCCCTGCAGCTACATGAATCAGGAGAAACCTTGCAGTCTTGTCTGCCGATCTTGGAATTTGTCGACCTTCACAGCCTGTGAGCAGGAGCCGTGCTCTCCAACCTGCCAATCTTGGGTTCGCCAGCTTCTGCAGCTGTGTGAGTTGGGAGAGGCCTCTACCATGATCCATGGACTTGGAAAGTTCTAGCCTCTATAATCATGTGAGCTGTTTCCTTGATATAAATCTCTCTCTATATATATTTATACGCTTTACTGGTTTTGCTTCTCTAGAGAAGCCAGCTTAAGACAACTGCGGACTGCCAGAAAAAGGAACAAATCAATCTCAGAAGAAATACAACCAGAATGCTCCTTAGAAGCAAGGATGATGAAACCTGGGCTCTCTTACTTTGGACATGCCATCAGGAAAGACCAATCTCTAGAAAAGGACGTCATGCTTGGTAAAGTAGAGGGTCAGTGAAAACGAGGGAAACTCTAAAGAGACAGATTGACACAATAGCATCAACAATGGGCTCAAACATATCAAAGATCATGGAGTTGGCACACGACAGAGCAATGTTTTGTTCCGTTATACATACGGTCGCCATGAGTTGGAGCCAACTTGATGGCAAGTAACGAGAACAACAATAGGGCAGAGGAAATGATCTCAAGAGGTGGTCTGCAGCCTTGTGGGGAGATTGGCCACTGTAAAAATGGCATAGTGGGTACATCTGACCTCCTCTAATTTCACAAGGGGAAGTAGAATCAAGATTGACAGCCCAAGACTGATTCCTATGAGGCAGAGGACAGACATGCCTCCTCTCTCCACTATCTTTACCAATTCTGACACCAGCCGTGCTTCCCACGGCACTCTCTACTTCTCTGCTGGGTTCGATAATTCATTGCAATGGCCACACAGAACTCAGAGACCGTACTCACAGTTATGGAGTTTATTAGGGAAGTAACAGGTTACAATTCAGAATCAGGAAGGACTCAGGATACAGTTCTTCAATCAGGACACCCTCTTCTCAGCTGTGTTCACAGGCAGGCCTCTCTCTGGCCCTTGACTCCTTGGCCCCTTGGCCCCTCAGCCAGGCCTCTGTTCTGCTTGGACAAGTGTTACAAAGCTCTCTGGCTTTGCCAACAAGTGCCCGGAGGTACCCCACTCAGCCAGCAAGCCTCCCGCCTGAAGGTGCTCAGTTTTCTTGCTCCGTGAGCCAGGAAGCCCGCTGTGCCTTCTCCTGCCGGTCTCCTGGTTTTGCTGCCTCTGCTGCTGCCATTTCTCTGCCACTGCTTCTCACCGTCTCTGGTGTTACAGCGCTCTCTCTCTCTCTGTTTCCTGGGTCTAGGAGGTTCTCAGTGCAGGGATCCCGGGTCCAAAGGACACGCTCCACTTCTAGATTTTCTTTCTTGGTGGTAGTGGGTCCTCTCTCTGCTCTTGGATTGGCTCTCTTTTAAGCCTAGCAGGATGGCAAAACTGACCAATTCCCTTGTTAGTTTCCATACACCTTATTTGCATGGTCCCACCCCTGTGTTTAAGTTTCTCCATCTGTAAATTGTTAGTGGGAGGGGGAAGGTGGCAAGCTGGGGGAAATTTGATTATAGCAGAAAGTCTGAAACTTTTGTGATTCTAAGAACAGCAAGTATTTCTAGGAACCGTACGCAATGAGCTGTCTCCCTCGGGTTAACCCAGAAACACACCTCCTTTGAGATCTTTAACTAGGATGGGCTCTAAAAGCTCCCAAGTGTCTGTGGAGGCACCACTAAGAGATTAATTACAGCTTTCCACTTCCAAGGCCTTGACAGCTTTACCCAAAACTGGCTGCACCAGCATCAAGAGCTATTCCTCCCCTTAAAAAACGAAAACTAAACCAGTCGCCACTGAGTCAGTTTCGACTCATGGTGACCCCACGTGTGCAGAGTAGAACTGCACTCCATAGGGTTTTCAAGGCTGTGACTTTTTAGAAGCAGACTGCCAGGCTCATCTTTTAAGGTGCTTCTGGGTGGGTTTGAACTGCCAACCTTTCAGTTAGTAGTGTAGTGCTTAAGCAATTGCACCACTCAGAGAGTCAAGAGTTATTTCCACATCTCCAATAATCTCTCCAAGCCCTCCCAATAAAACCAAAATTAAAACAAAAGCAAACAAAAAGAAAAACAAGCAAGAAAGAAAGGAACCATACGAGCTCAAAGGAAAGAGGTTTCTCCAAATTTGGAGGTTATTGAAGTTTGTCTTCATGGCTGGCCCCTAGCCCCCTACCAGAACCTCCCGAGAACTCTTTACTCCAGCTGCTTTCCTCTTTCCTTCAAGCCATCTGCAATACCCATATCCTGCCCCATTTCTTCATAGTCCTACTATCAGGTATAGGACAAGATAACCTGATAAATGAATCCACAATAACTTAATAATCGGCGAGATTCATCTGTGTTTACATGAGTATATTTTCACAGGAGCCCGTGGTTTAATCAACGAATCATATAAGAAGTCTTTACTGATTGACAATCTATGTTAGATGCACTGAGAAGTATGACAGAAGGGGGAATCAAGATCTCACAGGTACTCACAGCTGGGGGACAAGAAGGAGACAGTGAACTAAGATTCTGTGATACAAATTTAAAAATGAAATTCAAATCCAAATATCCTCATTAAGGCTCCTGGAATCAAAGGAGATATCAATATCAAGTCCTGTAATAAGGGTTATTATTCTATTTACTCTCAACTTCCTCCTGAAATGTTCCCGCCCTTTCTTGTGCTGACTGATAGCTGCTTCCCTCCCTGGAGGTCATTGCTCCCCCTGTAGGCCTCACCAGGGTTGGTGGCTGATCATTCTCCCTTGCCATGTCCAGCCCCCCAAATCTCAGGGCCAGAAGGTGACACAGGCCACTCTTCTACCTCCTGTACTGGTTATTGCCTCTCCCCATCCCGCACTGCCGATCTTGCCCTACTCTTTGCTTGAGAAGGCTGACTGTGTTTGACTGCATCAACAGAGGAGGCTCCCTTGCTCTGTCTTCCTCTTGGGCTAAGCCAATGGAAGGCACTGGCAGGAGACCAGAGGGTAGGAGGAGAGGGAGAGTCCAGGGTACTTATTCCTCCTGCACTCTTCAAACCTCACTGCAGTTTTGGGAGTGGCTGCATTCCTCGGTGGCTCCAGCTCTCCCTAGGATCCAGTAGCACTGCCCTTTCCCTTTCCCCATCACACTCAGGCTTGGTAATGGCTTCCCTGGGGCCTCACCATCCCTTATTGCTAATGGTGTGCTGGTAAATGTTTGACAACTGGTTCTCTGGGAGGAAAAACTATGCATAAATATGTGTATAAGTTTATTATAATTTTTACTGATATAAAGGCTATGTAACAAAATAATAATGAAATATATAATACTCTTCTGCTGTAAATTCCATGTAGCCAATTGACTCTCACAGATTGCTTTTGTTGACTTTTGCCAAACTCTTGTGTCTGTAGTTAATCTGTGGTTGCAATTGATGAGCAAGTGTGGTTCTGACATGAATGTTGGTTGATATGTTCATTCATGTTAATGAGTAAGACGAAAGTGAAACAACAAAGACATATGTCAGAACTTCACATATTCATCAGTGATGTGAGAGACTCTTCTGCTGAGTCAGATAATAGTTTTTGAATACTGAAAAATATTTCCTCAAATTTTTATGCTATTCACAGTGTGACAGCTTCAGACATGGCATACTTAATCAGCATTACTTACATTTTCTCCATCACTTTCTTAAGTCTAGGCAGTCAACAAAACAATAAATCAAGCCCTGATTTGTAGCATTTGCCCATTTCTGTGGTGTAAATGCTCTCAATGTGGCTGATGTCAAGCCACCAACATGATGTCACTGAACATAGAGTTGGAAAGAGATGCACAGTTGCACACCATTATATAGCATTTCCACCATACAGATAAAATAGACTGACATAACCCCAAAAGCATAGATAATAGTAGACTGCTGTAAAATCATTAGAAAGTTATGAATTTTTAACTTAAAAAATATGATTTATTTAATCGTAAGTTTGTATAATTAGAGTTTTAATAACGGTTTTAACACCCAGCTCACAAAATTTCTGACAATTTAACAATCAGCTCTCGTGAGCCAATGTGAGCCAGCTCCAGCTCACCCAAGCTTGTTGGTCCCTGTCATGGATTGAATTGTGTCCCCCAAAATATATGTGTCAACTTTGTCAGGCCATGA